AATGCCGATATGTGGAATCTCTCTATTGAATCTGGTTGGTCAATAGTGCAAGGAAACCAAGTTAAGACCAAACAGAGCGCACAGATATACATTGGAAAATGCAATCAGAGCCTGTCTTCTTTACAAGGAATGATGAGACAGCCTTACTCTATCTAGTGTTTCAATTTTCTAAACAACCAACTCAAAGGTGTAGCTATAGATTTGTGACCCAATTAACGGAAAGCATAATTGATCGGGAAATTCATACTACATAGACTGAGAACAGATAGAATACGGCCTAAATTTCTAGAAGACAAAAGTCCATTATGAAGGAGGTGATGATAACAAGCTTACCAGCATATGCTAGACCATGGATGTTGTCCCTACTGAAACGCTTAAAGACATGGCTCTTGATCTCCCCAAAGTTATTGGAAACCAGAAGGGCGAACAAGACATTGTTGTGAGCAACAATACAAGTCGACAATGTGATTGCCTGAGCTAACAGAATGAACGAATGAAGAAGTGAGGATAGTTAAGGAAACAGAAGGATGCAATCTTTTGATCTAACAGAAAATGAACACTATTCATCATGGAGAGAGGATATTTGAGGCAGTCATGGTTAATGCTTGGTCAGAAACGAATCTCCATGTCCAGAAACTCAATTTTTCAGGAGGCGAGCTAGCCAATCCCTCGGCAGAGCTAAATAGAGCCTGAAGTATATCTCCGCAGAAACTTTGACAAAGTTTATCAAATATCTGAAAGACAATACTCAAGTTAGCACCAGACAGAGAAAAAAAAAAGGTAAATACAACTCCTAAATATGCAGTGGGGGCACAGATATATTTCTGCCCATAAATCAAACCCAATCATGCAAGAGATACAATCCCATCAATTTGGATGAAATGGATATGAATATTCAGAACATAAAAAATACTAAACTGTTACCTCCAAGACATTGTAGACCACATAAAGTTTGATGGTACTTTGACCACGAATCATGTGATATATTAGGCTGATATCTGAGGGAATAAAGCACAGACAGAAGAGTGACAAACTCATAAACGAACAGTTTGAGAAACCCACCATCTCATCATGAACTGAAAATACAAAGTCCATTTTCTCAGCAGCATGACTGAGCTCGCACATCTAACCACTAAGAATTCCCTTGATCATCCATAGTACCAGACCAGATTTTGGATTGACTAAACATAAAACGCTTTGAGGGAATAAACAAATCAAAAGCTCCTTACTTTACCTGTTCTTCCCAGGAGAGTGATCCCGGAAGCCAAAACTAGAAAACAGCCAAAATCAGACAGCTCTGATGAGGAGGGCCTCTTTAACTGCCTGCCACGACGGCCGCTAGGTTATTTCCCACAACTCAAAACACATCAATGTTGCAGCAGTAAAGTTGCATGCTCGTAGTCTAATTCGTAGCATATCCGAGCATGTCTTTCATGCCAAGACTTAAGGATGATGACTAACCTCTTCTTGAAATTGCCCCACACTGTCATCAGGACCCTTATTGGCATGACTGTCAACAATGACAGAAATGAATTGAAGCAGACAAAAAAGCCGACATTTATAAGCTGCATGAAAATTGTTCTATGTGAAAACCACTGATGTGTAATGAACTTAAGCAGTGTCCTAATTTCTACAATCCCTCACAAATCAGATAAAACTGAAATGCACTAATATTGAAGACAAGGAACTAAACAACATGTAAAGCAGAACAGACCCTATCGAAATCGAGAAACAGTCCAAATGCAATCTAAGAGCAAAGGAGTACCACTTCGCATCTCCATGGTAAGCGGAAGATCGTATCATACACTCTTTCACGTTCTTGTTCGTTTCCAGAAGTAGTTGTGCTCCGTAATGAATTTCCGCCATAAATTTCCTCCATCAAGTATTTCATAGGTGACTTCTTCTCAGCAGATAGATCTGGCAACAAAAACAGTACCCATTTGTTGCAAACATTTCATCCAGCACCTTCAACCATAACCAAATTAGCAATCTCTGAATCTAAAAAAGGTTTGAAGTCGGCAACTCACAATTAGGATCATCTGCCATGAGTTGCTTCCAATCCAAAGACCCTGCCGTTTCGAGCCTCGTCATTGCATTCCCAGTGGGTCCAATTCTCGGCGGCGGAGGCAGCTGCTGTTCCTCCTGAAATGCCGGATTCTCAGAGGATCTAAGCTCCGGACCACTCTCCTCCCGTCGAATCGTCTTGTCGGAAGTTTTCGACTCGGACACTCGCTCATCGTTGCTGCTGCACGCACTACTGTTAACATTCCTCTGCCTCAGCTCGCCGAAATTGAACCCGTTCTGATGCACAGTCTCGCCATCCACCAGAGTCACCGCGCTCGCTCCGCTTCCACTGCCACCAGCGAAGTAACTCATTCTGTCCTCAAACAACGTCCGCTTACCGTCGGCCACAAAATCGCAAAAGCCAGAGGAATCGCAATTCGAAACTCCCACAGTACCGTTTGCGAGCACATGACGATAATCCCCGTTTTCAGGAATTACCTCGACGTCGGTAAACTTCTCCTTCTTCTTCTTCTTCTTCTTCGATCCTTTATGTCTCCTTCGTTTCCCGCTCTCCCTCCGCGACTCGGCTACTCCGTTCCCGCGGATCGGATCGGAGCTGGATCGACGAATCGACATGGACGCATCGTCGTCCAAGGAACTGCCTCGGCTGAGAATCTCGAAGGAAATCTTTCTCCTCGAGGAAGATTCCACCGCCATTGCCGAACGAATCAGCGCCAATAGATTGAAGAGATGCGAAGAACAAAAAAAAATAGACAAAAGTTCGATCATCCGTAAAATTTACATATAAGCGAATTGCTCGCGGACCGATGTTTTCAAGTGGCAGTAACGAACGACGTTCAATGTCTCGGATCCTTCACGCGATTGGGCACCGTGACGACATCAACCAATCATAAGCTGACACGTGTAATTCCACGTCGCATTCTCTTCTGTGACCAAACGTGCAACCATGCCCGACACGTGTACTCTTTTCAGTGACCATACGTCCACGTGTCCATGTTAAAAAAGGGAAAACAAAGAAAATATACGTTGCACTTCAACAACAGTAAATAGGGTAAAGAAGTCAACTTTAAAAATGGGTTAAGACCAACTTCGCAGGTAAAAAAAATAAATACCCAAATGACAGAAAATAACAGACTGTGGTGGATGTGGGTAATGGTTACAAATTTTATACAACAAAACAAAACGTATAAATGTAGAGAGAATGGTTACAAGTTTTCCATCGTCGATTATGACAGACAAATTTGCAAAGCGAGCAAAGTCTCTCTACTTCCGATCCCTCCGCTTTCGCCTCTTCTCTTCTTCCCAGTCCCGATCATACATCCTATTTATATACATATACCCGTATGTCAAAGGAAAATCACTCACTTACTATGGAGAGTTCTTAGTAAAAAAGCATGCTAGATATGATATGAAGGTATAAAAGTGAGATATATGGATTCCGAGTTTCTTACGGGTCGGGATGATCACGACGAGCCATCTTTCGGATTCCCGGGTCTTCTAGAAGATACCCGCCGTGTTGAATCATACTGCCTTTCCTCTCTCTCCCGTCGTACAGCGATGATGATGGAGGAGCCATGGCTAGTGACTGGTGGTGAGCCATGGGAGAGTACTCTCCTGGCTCTGCCCCTGATGATGGCATGTGTTGTTGTTGTTCCCTCTTCACCTTCCGTCTCTTGGACGCTGCTTCGGTATCTTCTTTCAAAAGGGTACCTCTTTCTCTTTCTCTATCCCTTTCCTCCCCCTGGCAAATGTCATCGACCATCAATCAATCAACCAATCATATCATGTGGATATCTTCGACAATGTTTGAATGCAGGGTATATGGTTATTTCATGATCAGAGCTGAAACGGGCCCAAGCGATCCATATGAAAAACCAAAATAAATAAATAAAACCAGAGCACTATTATGTCATTCCGTACTAGACTCCAGGGAAATATGAGAATTGAGCAGCTCTAGGTCCCTGATTCCCGATCCATTGATGATACTGCCCCAACATTAATCCAATCGTAAGCTGAAAATTTTTCCATAATGTATCGTAATCACCTTGTTACCATGCTATGCAATTACCTTTCAGTGACTAAAAAACTGTCACAGAATTTCTAAATATTTCCATTGTACTGCAGTAAAGACAGTGCTACTCACAGCTAAGCAAAATGAATAACAATGATCAAGAGTTTATACTGCAAAAGCCAGCATAAAAATAGAAATTTGAGAACCCAAACATTAGATTTCTAACCTTGACAAATTGTCCATACGTGACACGCTGGCTGTTTGGGTATCTATAGTAAACGGCAAAACCCGGCATGTTTCCACACTCCTGTTCATAGCAGGATGGCGATGGCATCGACCAATCAATCATATTAAGTGATCACCTTTGATGATGATTTCATGCATGATATATGATGATTTCATGTCCAGGCGAATCATATGAAAGTAAATGTGCGCCAGTGCAGTTATTTTAGAGATATGGGCGAGAAGTAAAAGTAGTCGTGTACCTTCAGAGGAATGGTCTCTCGATCATCTCGCTTTCTTTCACGAAAATCATCCTCTCTCCTGCGCTTTGTATCATCCATAGAAGGTGATGAATTTTCTTCGGATTGTCTTCTTTCTCTTTCGTCATGCCTCGGAGAAAGCCTCTGAGAATGCCTTGCAGCCCCACCAACCCTCCTATCGCCATCTTCATCTCTTCTACCACCGCTCAGCGATTGTGGAACGATATTAGGAGGCAAAGGTGGTGGCGGAGGCAAGCCCTGAGAATGGAAATGGTCGTCGGAATGAGATTTCTCAAGAGAAACCTCGCTATGACGTGATTTGCTCCTATCATCCTTATTTCTATCATAACCCCTACTTAATCCTCTATCTTGACCCTTCTCAACCGAACGTTCTCTTCCATGACGTTCCACAGACTTATCTCTCGCTTTATCTTTATCAATATCATCTCCACGGGATTTGTCTGATCGTTCTGATCTTTCTCTGTGGTCTCGGTCTTGCCTCTCGCTGCCCTTCTCCTTCGACCTATCCTGCTCCCTGTGGGTGCTTTGATCATCAGCAGCTGCCTTGTCCAAGTCTACAACTCGAGAATCTGCAGATTTATCTCGGTCACCATCATAATCTTTGTGATCAGCATCACCTTTACGACGCTTAATTGTCCTCTCAGTATCTTCAACAGCACTAGTTCGTTTGTGTAACCTATCACTTGACTTTGAAGAAGATGTGTTGTCATGCCTAGGAGAATGAGCAGTTCGGGAAGGTTGCTTTTGTACATCAGAAGCTTCAGCACCTTCATCTTTCACTGCATCAGAGGTTACATCAGAAGATCTGACAAACTCCAGGTTTTTTTTTTATGAATTGCCGTTAACATTGAATGCTTGTGTGGGCGAGAACGAACCTTTGGCTGATGCAGTAGCTATGGTGCCATTTGCTGCTGGGGTGGAAGATACCTTAATTGAACCTGCTTGCCTGCTCTCAGAATTGTGAGAGCTGAGGTCCTTTTCGGTTGTGGATATTCTTCCAATGCCTTTACCAGACTTGCTATCCTCTTTTCCAAGATCTTGCTTTGTTGTTTTGCTCGTTGATCCAGCTGAGGCACCCCGTTTTGAGGAAATTTTCAACTGGCAACCAAAAAATAATATATAAATGAGTGGGAATTCATAACGGTACCATAGGAACATGTCATTCCCAACTCAAATCAATCATGAATTGTAATCATAATCCGGGCAAATAACCCAAACTCGTGGCCTATAATTACAAGTAAAAAAGTTCTGACACCCGAACAATAACGTGTAACCAAATGACACCCAAGCCATATTTTCAGAGTAAACCCAATAAAAATAACATCTAACAGCAGTTCTCTTAAAGCCAGTCCTCTGAGAAAATCGGCTATGAAGAAGGTGTGATTGGTACGAAAAAATTCCCAAACTATTTTCCACATACATATCAGAGTAAAGAATTAAAGGAACCATAAAGCAAGGATTGCCAACTTCACCAGAGTAAGATGCTATAGAATACCTCCGTCTCAGAAGACTTTGAAGAAACTTTAACAGCATTTTCATCAGATATTCTAGATGTTTCGTTTGACTCCTTTTGTTCCATCGACCTTTTAGATTGGGATGGTTGGGCATCAGAAGGTCCACCTCCCTTTGATTTTAGATGGCCTTGATCAGATTTGGAAAGAGGGATACTCTCCGTCCTTTCCAATTTTCCATCCACAGGTTTAGATCTCGGTCCCTGCTCCTTGCTCAAGCTCCCAGACTCGGGATGCGGGCTAACAGTAGACACTGATCTGCCTCCGGTAGATTCACCTTGGGGCATGCTAACTAATGAACCATTCTGGGAAGGACCATGTTTCGGACCACGTGCTGGGGCAGCCTTTAGTTCCAGATAACCCATGCCAAATTCTTCATCTGTAACCCATGAAGCCTGAAATGGAAATTAAGTCACGTTCTGAAATCCAAACACAGTGTAATTGTTGTGTTTTAGTACTCACTTTTCTTGCAGCCAGAGCGGCAGCAACACCAGTTGCTAAAACCTTAAGGTCCTCTCTCTCATCATTTTTAATCTTAGCTACCTATGAAACAAACCACCAAAGAAATGAGATATTAATGCTCTCATCAAGAAAACATGGGTGACAAAAACAGAAATCACATAACTTTGCAATTTTCAGAAATTGGCTAGCGAATAGATACATACCCGTTTTTCAAGGTTTATCCCAGTTTTTCGAGTAACTGGGAAAACACTAGAAACCTTTGTCAACATAATCAGAGCATTACGAATCTCCATGTACTCATTGGACTCCAGACACTGGATCAACAACCGTGTAATTCTTTGACTCCATTTCCAATGTACCTTCCAAGAAGATCAACAGAACATTCTCAGACATGAACAAAATGCAGAGATCAAACAAGAAATTGCTAACATTGATTAAAATTGCTATCATTGATCAAACAAAATGCAGGTATCAAGAAAATACTTAGCATACATAAACTCATCAAAGGGTAAGACCAGAGATCACACAACACTGAGCAGGAGCAGTTTTGTTCTATCGGATATAAAACAAAGCTTGAAGCTATTTCCTGCATCCCTTGCTATGAACACAATAGGACCAATACAACAAAGGTAAGATCTCCCAAAAGACAGAAAAGCCATCATTTAATTCATACAGTATTGAGATTTCTACAGAGCCCAAGATATCAATAAAAGTTGATGATACCTAATCCTAAAATCAAACCAAAATAAATAAATAAAACCAGAGCACTATTATGTCATTCCGTACTAGACTCCAGGGAAATATGAGAATTGAGCAGCTCTAGGTCCCTGATTCCCGATCCATTGATGATACTGCCCCAACATTAATCCAATCGTAAGCTGAAAATTTTTCCATAATGTATCGTAATCACCTTGTTACCATGCTATGCAATTACCTTTCAGTGACTAAAAAACTGTCACAGAATTTCTAAATATTTCCATTGTACTGCAGTAAAGACAGTGCTACTCACAGCTAAGCAAAATGAATAACAATGATCAAGAGTTTATACTGCAAAAGCCAGCATAAAAATAGAAATTTGAGAACCCAAACATTAGATTTCTAACCTTGACAAATTGTCCATACGTGACACGCTGGCTGTTTGGGTATCTATAGTAAACGGCAAAACCCGGCATGTTTCCACACTCCTGTTCATAGACTGATTCATCACTCTATGACAAGGAAAACACTCGCATTAGAAAGTAAAAGCAATAGTGATATTTGTATTCATGTACTCACATCAACAAATATAACATAAACTTTGAAAGACATCTTTAAAAACATATTGCTTACCTTCCAGTAGTAAGCAATCTTTAAGGTCTCAAACAAAAACCTCCCAAGTCTTCCGACTTCATATTCAGTGCAGCAGCATATCATTGGTTGTAGTGTTTGGCATATCAGAACATCAATGTGGTTGACAGTATTAAAAAAGGGTGTTCCGAGAGAATGAAGCATATCTACAAACATGGCACAGTAAACAGAATCGGCCATGCTAAATGTGCAGCGAGGGAAAATACAACGCTGCAGGAACTCCATGTTAATCTTCAACGTATCAGGACAGGAACTCAACCATTTATCCTTTTCACGAGAAAGTCTCCTACGAACAGAAGCAACGTGTTCTTCATGTTTGCGTAATTCACCAGTTAGGCGATCAAGAGATTCTTGGATTCTTTCCTTCTCTTTTTTTCTCTTTGTAATTGCAGAACTAGAGTTATCTGAAACCTCTTCAAGCATCTTAAGTGCAGCATGCTGTTTAGCAATCTCAGACTCGTATCGATCTCTAGGAACATGAAGATCATAGAGAGTAAGCCCCCAAAACGTTGCATAGAGGTCTGGGGAAAGACTATTCCAGGCTTTTGTGGGTAGCATCATTCTGACAGTATCAAGAAGATCAGACCACCTGAAACAACATGAACAAGTGAATAATGAAAAACAAAGATCAGTATATAGGCAGAAATAAGCCAATCCAGCTCACTTATGTTACTCTCAATCTTCAGAGAGAGTATTTAAAACTTATGAACAAACAGAATAAATGCTTTTCATATCCTACATAAAAGATGACAACCAAACTTAAGGAAAAGGTGGGATACGAATAGTACATTATAGCTTTTTTGGATGAGCTGACATCAAGAATCATTTTTACACAGTTTCCTTGAGGGTCAGGCTCTGTATTTTCAGTATCCCTATTCATAGATTCACCAGCATCCAAAGGCCACTGAACATCACCACTCTGCTGAGATTTGAAGAGCCTCATGACAGGGCGATATATCAGAAAAGCAACCTGACAGCATTGATAAGAAAAGCAAAAGCTTTAAAATAAATTTTTTTAAAAAAACAAAAATTATAAGGAATTCAACTGTGCATTGAATTGAGAATGAGCAAAAGTTAAAGGTAGAGAACAAAAAAACAGAAGAGAGAAAGAGAGACCTCAGGATCAAGATGATATGTGTGAACAAGCTCCTCGAGTGAAGGGACCAGCCGAGCATAAGCAGTAGCAGGACTCACTGCATTACAAAGGAATTCCACATACTGGAGAAGAGTTCCATGACATCGGTCAAACTGCTCACTGACCATCTTAATATAGGGTGCATTAGCATTTATCAAAACTCTGCATGATAATAAACCATCAGGAATTTAATACTCTAGAACATCATTTGAGAAAAAAAAAGGAAGAGTTGCATGTTCACTCTTAAATGATTTAAAATCCATCAAGTTTGATGTGTTTAGTTTAGGAAACTGCATCAACAAGGATTACTGTGGTTCTCAACTTACACAGAGCGATGTTGCGCAAGAAGTAACAAAAGTGGAACAGCTAATTTTGGTTCGTCATTTGGAAGCAATGCATCTCTTAGCCGGTTAGATGATTTGACAAGTGCCTGAAGCAATAAGGAAACAAAACAGAAACGTCAAAAACTAAGTGTACCACAATAGTTTTCTGAGCAGACAGATAAACTTCGTAACTCAGATTCCACGTACTATGCCATATTCAAAAGTTTGTCTACAGAGCATGGCTTCTATTGAATTGCATAACGGAATGTTTAGAACGAAACAATTGTTACTACAAAACAGGAAATTCTAAAACAATTCCTAAATTTATGCCCACGTAAAAATATAGCACGCACATGGGCATCTGTAACTGCATGCAGGACAAAAAGCCAAAAAGGATTGAAAGGAGAACTAGCTTTGAAATAACAAAATAAATTAGGCTGATAAGATTACCTAGTTTCTAGCAACAGGACACAGTGAAGAAGGCTTGGCTCCTCTCAGATTTAATTAAAAAGGAGACATATTTGAGAGTTTAAAAAGATAACCTTGTTATTCCGTGTCATGCCAAAGGATGTTGCATGATATCGTAAAGTCTCACTTCCTGCCATGGCATCAAGCTGATCTTCGGTAAGGTTCTCTGTGTACTGGACATTTGCCATCTGCTGGATAAGTTCCTACATATAAGTGTAAATTTCCAGTCAATAATCATTGATCTATAAATAAAAATGTGTACTGGACATATTTCCCTAGAAATAAACGTAAGCATCACATAAAGTTGCCCGAAACACGAACCAAAATAGTACCTGTAGAAGAACAAGCTCAATACCCTGACCCCTCTTTAACTGGTTCACAAGATACTGGAAAAGACCTCTCAACTCCATCGACGGGTACTTTTTACACCTGGAGAAGATGATACTGTTGAGAAAAATGCTTGACAAGATGGATTTTCACCAATACGCACTTCTGAAAGATATTCAATGCACATTTTTGCATTCAATTTTTGGAATATGAGCAATATAATCCCAATTTCTGACAACTAAGGAATTTCATCAAGAAACCATGCTACGACGGGAGGAACAATGGTAACTTCTCTTTAAAAAAAATGACAGACCAAATTCAACTAAATCCTTCTGAATTTTTTTCATGGCAGACATGAAACTGTTACTAAATGAACAACTACAACTGCCCTAAAACATGCTGCTCAATGTAAAACAACCAATTTGATTTCTACTTAGCATTTTCAAGGCCCCATGCCCACATGACAACACCTTACCCAGAAGTCACGACAAAAAAACCATACTTTCTTTTAAAATAAACCGATGCTTTGCCCCTGATTTCGCCCCGATAAAGAAACATTTCATCCCAATGACTACAGCCATAGTAAAGAACAACACCGGAAAAACAAAATCCAGAAAGAGAACAGACAGTGAGGGGAAAACATGTCTCACGCTGCGGACTTGCTCAGCATGAAGAAATAACAAGAAAGATCTGAATAGCCCAGAACTATTGAGATTATAGAAAAATTCATAGCATGCTGGTTGCTAGGATACTGAACTAAAGCCAGGGAAGAAACACAGAACATCCTAATTCTCAACAAGATAAAATAAACATTTAGAGCAGAGTAGTTGTAGAAGTTTCTGAATACGTACAGGTGACCCCAAAATGAAGCCAAAGATTGAAGCCAGTCTGACAAATTAAGCCCATCATCTTTCAGTTTATCGCGTCCGCTTTGTGCCAGTCTCTCAATCACGACATATTCCAGGATATCATACTCAAGCTGCAAATCAGGAAGCATTTGGAAACCATCACAACACACACATCCCATCGAAACTGCATACCAGAGTTATCTCACTACATTGTGGCCTTATTCAGCAGTCTGTGAACATACTACTAGCAACCTGCCATCCCCATTTCCAAGAATTCGAAACTACCCTAATCACATGAAAACCCAGTCAATATAAAACATTTCAAGGCTTGATAATTAGCACTCCAGATAGATGATATTTACTTCCACTGAAAACATTAAACGAGCATGAGCAACCAACCGCCCTTCTGCATCTTAATGGTGTTTTCCTTTTTTGAGTCAACATCATGATGGAGATTCATGCTCATTAAAAGAGAAAAGAAAAACCAAGACCAAACATGGAGTAGATATCACAGAAGAAAAATGGCCATATGACATCCAAAAGAGAGAAAAACATAAAAACCTGTGTCAGGTACTTGAAGGCATCCACAACAGGAGTAATCATATCTCTGTATGCTTCGATCTGTAATAAATACCAAACAGTTAGCCCCGTCATCTGAGCATCTCCAATTTCAAAACAGGAGAGAGACAACAGTAGATATAAGATACCTGATGCACAATAGTTCGAAGTACCGTCATAGGGTTGGCATGAGCTAGCTTTGCCACCATCCGACCCAACTGCTTCAAATTTTCTTTAGCAAGTCGTTTCAGAATCCTTCTAGTATCCAGCTGAACATACACTTAAGGAAGTAAATAATGTGCCATTTCGTTCTATCATGTGAGGCAACCAAACTGAATAAATCACATTGATATACCTTCGATACTTGCCTTGCTGCCAACAACAAAGGATTTCGTTCATCATCTTTTTCCCACTCACCATATAAGCGGTAACGAGCCTAGGAAAACAAAACGAACCCAGAATGATTGGCGTTAATGTTCAACATAAAAAAAAAAAAAGAATAAAACCTAAGAAAGGCCAACCTCATATGGAAGAAGACACATCACTTCCCAGATCTCATTACCAACAGCTGGATTTGCAGGTACCAATTGCAAAGATGGGAGAAGACATGTCCCAAGAGCTTCTTCTACCCCCGCCCTAACCTCCTTCAGGTGCATACGAGGATTTTCAATTGCACTACCTTCTTGATTTGAAGATCTATCACTAGCACGGACAAGATCAAGGGCGGACAAGTAGTAAACCCTTAATACCCTACAAATCTACCACAATGGTAAACTTTTATCAGCTTCATCTATCATTTTATTTGTACAAGGCATTCAGCAATCTAAAAGTCTAAAGCACCTTCTGCAAGAGTAGTGTATCTCGGTAGAGGTAGGGTCCAGCAGTACCAAGCATCTGAAGTACTTCTTTAGGAAGATCTACAGATCGCCTATTGCTTGGTGAAAATGCTGCACCAACATCTGTATTTTCTGCAGTGGAAGAAACAGAACTCTGAAAACGTATCTGCCGCACAATGTCATATGTTGGAGCGATCGACTTCTCTATGAGCCTGAAAAAAGACCAAGAAAATCATAATTCCCACACAAAAATTTGTGTGCAGAGCCATGGTCTCAAAACAGTGATACAGAGAACTCAAGATGCAAGGGAAAACATTTCAAGCTGTCCAAACCATAACAATACAGTAGCCAATAATCGTCAATGCTAGCCTCCAGTATTTCTGAACCAAAATGGCCCAAAATTAAATGTACAAGAATGTGAATACTAACCTAAACAAGCCACCACATATCTGATTGTGTGCCACTGGATTACTAGGTGCAAGACGCTCAAACAAGATATGGGCATGATACCTGTCACGCGGAAAGAGTTAGCACAAAACAAAAATGGCCCTGGTGTTTCGCTTTCTGACAGCGGAAAACAGAAAAAACTTGAAATAGTTATAAAACTCAATATACAAAATGCTTTATACTACATGTATGAGAATTTAAATCGCCGTCAAAGCAAATTTAAGAATGCAAACAAAAATGTGGCAGCACCAACAAATTCCAGAGAGATGCCAATACTTTGCAAAAGATGCCCAACACGTCCTTTCAAATCATAAACAAAACAATGGATTCAATTACCACAAACAACCAATCCATGCAGAAGTACTAGTCCTAGAAGAACTTCCATGATCATGAAGATGATAACATGGAATTTCCACATGCATCAGTTCAAAAAACATACTTCTCAAAGACTCGGACAAAGGTGATGACAGTGGATTGATATGAGAGGAAGACCAACAAAATGAAAAATAGATGACAGTCTATACTTGCAGTCAAGTTATATCTCAAGAAGAACCAAGGTACCTACCAATCGTCTACAGAGAGAAAACCATTAAGGAGGCCCAGGATCTGATCATTTTCAAGCTCTAGCGACCGTTCAGCAACAGCTTCGGTCTCCATGTCCAAAGCAGCAAAGAGATCTACTGTGACATCTCCTGGCTTTTCATCTTCCATAAGATCCTTTCCAGTAGCAGCAAGATTTATTTTTCCAATTTTATTGGCCTTATAAAAGAGTATGAGAGAAGATGTAAGCATAAGAATAAATAATTAACCTATGAAACAGAACATGTAAATCCCCAGAACATTGCAAGATCATTGGCTCCTAGTCCCTTGTATCCGTTTTCATCCATATTTGAAAAGGTAAGATGAGCAGATAACCTCCATAAAAACAATTCATGAAGTTTGTTCACTTTTCTCCCCAGGAAAACGAGATTAAAGCCACATAACTTAGGACAGATCAGTGCAAAAAAAGAGAAACACGTCCATAAATAACCACTAAAAGCTATTCATACTTGCAGAAAACACACCTCCTCAAGCCGCTTTGCAGAAAAAGCATTATAATGCTCAAAAGCATCCTCGTCCTTAGGCAGTAGATGTGCATATCTGTTATAGGGGAAGAACTATACTGGTTAAGTACAAACGTTATCCAAGGTTTAGTATAGTGTGAGTTTACAGAAACACAAGGAAAAGCAGCAAAATTGCATTCTCGCCGTCAATGCACTGCTGAAATGAGCAGAGGCTCAAAGCAAATTTATTCAGTCCAGCAGGAGAAAATTATCTGAATTTTTTTAAAATCTCAGTACTATGTAGTCTTACCAACAATATTCCCAATATAAGTACTAAGATTCTTAAAAGACACGGATAATAGGAAATAACTAAAAAAGTTTTAAAACACAAGTTTATGAGAAGTAAAAGCTCATCAAATTACTTCCAGGCCATCCATTTGATCTATAGGGATAAAGGAGCAGAAAACACATAACTAGAAATGAGAGTCAGTGCCGACATGGTAAAGTACTGATATCAGTTTGAGCCTTCAGGGATAATAATAATAATAATATAACCTTATTCCAACACAAAGACAACAAAAACATTCAATATGAGTAAAACTACATAAGAAAGCCCAACTTGCAAGACGCATACCTACTTGCTAAGCTCGAGACCTCATATAAATACGAATCAACATATTCACCCACCACAGGTAATAAATAATTACAGATAGTTGTCAACAAAAAAAAAGGAAAAGAAAACAAGAATACCAATTGCACACATAATAGAACAAAAAAGGTCGGTACCAACGCTAAAAGCAACTTTATGGGATTTAAAGTAAAAAGAGCACTCACATGCTATCAAGACTGATAAATTCTTCCTTCACAAGTAAAGCTGTAAGCTTATAGAGCCCAAATGGGGTAGGACTGTTAACTTCCAACCTCTGATAGTATTGAAACTTAAATCCAAGTATTTGAGAAGCATGAGACTGCACAGCAGAGAGCAAAAATAAGCAAAGCCAAGTTTCTTGAATTAAGCAGTAGACTAAGTCCACACAAAGAATACATGCCAAACCTTAGGAAAGATTGGAATTAGATCAAGAAATGTGCTATTATCTGACTGAAGTTCAAAACAATCCAGCACCTATACATGAAAAAGAAAGGTGAATGAAACAGAGAGAAAAGGCAGATCTGTTATGCGATATCAAACATAAAATGACAAAATCCAAAATGTCAACTTACTATGTCGAAAACACGGTTCGGATCAAGGTCAAAATGTCCAATCAATGACTGCAAGAAAGATTTCAGATCATAAACTGGGAAACAAGATACATAACCCAAACAAGGTGTATTTGTGAAGTCAAAACCTTGATAATCCCCATAGTTGCTGCTGACGCATTCTGGGAAGAATTTGCAGATCCCCGGCAAAGAAGCGTGACCTACACTCCAAAAACAGTAAGTACTGACTGCTGAGATAAGTTTCGCAAGAAGACCACTAAATGTCAATTTTGAGAGATTATAGTCAGTTAGTCCAAATTAACTATCTGCTTCAATAATAATAACGAAAAAGAGAGACTGTTTGTTTTCCTTCAGAACTATATTTAATCAGAATTAGCAGGGCATGTGCCATGCAGATAGAAAGACACAAAAAGGAAAATGCCAAATAAGCATCTTGGAAGAGATCATTCCTTTCAAATCACAGTCAAGCATTGCCAAGGTAGATTATATGGAAATTAAGACTTAAATATATAAAAATAGAACTAGCAAAAGCATCAATATAAGGCCAAAAAAAGGTAGGATCTTCGATAAGGAACGTTTGACAAACCAGTTTGGCATATCCCTCACTTTCTTCACGGAGTAAGTTGAACTTCGTTTGCTGGTAAAGAAGACGGGTATTTACCCTGACCTGAACAGCACCAATCAGAATGTGTTATTTCAAGGCAAGATATAGTAGTTCCAAACTTATACATGAGCATGTTTCTCTATCCAAATATCCCACAAAAGGACCACATTCTTATAATTCAAATCATAATATGATTTCATCATCCTACCTTTCTCCAAGTCTATCTGACAGCACTTTGTCGTTTTCAAATACGACTGAATCACATTGCAACCACACAAATTTATGTCATCACATAATATCCTCTTCCCCAATAGTAGTAGCCTCATAGTCCATATTAACATAAGAGTATTGAAGCATGAACACTCACCTCTTTTCCCTTCAAATCCTGAGCCTTTATCTTAACCATTTCAGCTTCCCACAGAAACTCTTCCTAAAACGTAATATAACAGTATTTTTTAGCTCTCTGCCCGTCTCACAGAAATTGTCAAGCAATCAAGAACAAAAAGCTAGCTGGTAAACCAGCAGCTCAAGTGGGAACATGAAAGCAACTTTGACCTCGCAACGCTCCTGGAAAAGCCTCTGAGGGACTAGTTTTGATTCTACAAGCCATTTTGCCTGGAAAGAGGGAAACAGCTAGATAAATGATTCTCAGCATTGAAATCTTGAGGCAGGTGGTCACAAAAAAAAAAAGATGAGATCCACCTATAGGCGTATAAAACATGAAACATGGAAACTCAATAAAATTAGGTCACTGTACACGAAGAACGCGATAGGAAACCGGAGGGACATGCCACCTCCAGAAAACAGGATCACAGAATTAGTACAATGAAGAATAAATTCTAATACTGACCAACTTTATCAGACGGCTACGCTGATCTCCTGACAGAGTAAGCTGCAAGAATAACGCGATAGAAAAACCATCAATGTGTCAACAAAATTTCCATTTACAACAAAATCATAACTTACTGGTTCCCCAGCGCTAACAGCAAAAGCCAATATCCGCGCACAAATCATTTTGTAAGCTAAAAAACAAAATGTGAAATTGCTAAATGGAACACCATTCTAACAAGCTTGAGTTCCTCTATTAAAGCATTTGAAAGACTTACATCTTGAGCTATCTGAGTCACAACATCCGCCAAACACGACCCCAATTCTCCTTCGGCTGGCTTGTCCGAAAAACCCACTGCCTGTAGCACTCCCTTACAGCTCTGAATCGGCAACTCGCCACGAACCTAAGAACCAATCGAAAGACACGAACTCACTAACTCGGAGAACATCCATTTCAAAACACCCTAAACTAGCACATACACACAAACCAGCGTACAACCATGCATAGGCAGAGACAGAGAGAGTACCAAGGTCCAGCAGAGCTCGTAGACGAAGCGAAGCATCGGTACGGAGCTGTGTAGCTTAGAGCCGTAGCTCCCATTCTTACAATCGCGAACGAACTCCTCTGTCACGTAGTTACACTCCAGTAGAGGAAGAGACATCGTCACCGTCTCTTCTGTCTATCTATTCTCCTCCTGTCCGAAATAAGGAACACGATCCGAGAACCAAACCCTAGAGGACGGAGAGAATAGGGTTTAGGCTGCAGGAGATTTCGATTGGTGACCGGAGAAGTATGGCGACGCCACGCCAAACAACATGGGCAGATGGAGGAGACGAATCACAAAGCTTCTTCGGGGGCAAATGATTAAATTAGGGTTTCTGGGGAAATCATTTGAGCTCTGCAAGTGAAATTGAAGACGAAGATACGCTTGCAGAGGGGCTTTTTTTTTATGTATTAAAATTATATATATGATTTATCAAATGAAATTTGGAGTTTATTGCAAGAATGCCACTGATCAGGCCTACGGTATATCCGGCCCATGGGCTTATTATTATCTTCTTGACCAAATCTAATTTGAGCCTCATAATTTGGGCTCAAGACGTTTGGGTATTATAAGAATATATATATATATATATATATATAATTATTATTCATTTTTTAACCTTATTGAATCAAACAAGTAACGTGGTAGTACGAGAAAGTGGAACTTTAAACTAAGTCAAATTTAATATTTTTTTTATATCAAATTATTCCCGTTGTCGAAATCAAAACTTTTGTGCATCTTAAAATTTATTTTTACAAATTTCGCAAAATCAAGGGCTATGTTTGCAGTTTATTAACATATTTTGTCTCCTATAACAGTCTGGATATATCTTTAGACTTTATCAAATTAAAAAAAAAAAACAATTTATCTTTATTGAGACTTACATGCTGATGATATAATCCCTTTTTTTTAAATGAAGATATAAATATATAAAACTTATTGGAAAACTAATGAAAAAGGTCATAAATCCACTTATTTTAGAAAACAATCTCTATAAAATTAGAAGGAGATCTTGTACTATAAAAAAAAAAAACTAGTTTGTTCCCAAATCAGAATACGCATAAATATGATAAAAATAAATATCAACTCAATAAATACTGGATATAAATAAAAAGAGATTATCTCTCGCTATAAACTGTCATAAGACCAAAAAAAATATCATAAAAGACGAGGGACCAAAACTAAAGTAAAAAATAGAGCCATTTCTGGAAGGACGCACGCTTTGGTCCATTGTTGTCCAAAACCGACCGAATCCAGCTGGCAAGCTCATCCACAGTTCAGCTACTACAAAAAAACACCTAATCACTAGCTGACACGTGTCTCTATAAAGTCTATAATCAACCATATCAGTAGGTGTCAATAGGATCGATCCAAATCCGCCTTCAATCGGTCTGATCGGTCCGATTTTTTTCGAATTTATATAACTAAATTCGAAATCCGATTTTATTGGTTTCGAATTCAGACCAGATCGAGTCGAACCGATCCAATCAATTTCTTTGTAAACTTATTTTTTGATTATTTTTAATTTTTTTGTTAATCTAATTCGAACACCCGATCTTTTTGGAATCGAAAAATTTAAACCCAAAATCTCATATTTCTCGGATGAATTCGGATTGAACTTTAGGATCCATGCCTAAATTGACACCCAAACATTTTATCAATGAAAACAAAACAAAATTAAAAAACCAAAAATCTGAAATACAAAGAATTTATAGAATAAAAATAAAATATATCGAAAAAAACAAATTAGGCCAAACCAAGTTTTAATCACCAACTCGCACATTGTAAAATAAAAAAATAAATATTTGTAAAATAAGCTCACACGTGTTTTCTGGGTTCGGAGTATATTGAATAAATTAATAAATCAGGAGCTTCGGAGCGAGGCAGAGGATCCGCACTGCAAAAGCTCATTTACATTACTTGACAGACAAGGAATGAGTAAGAGAAACAAAACATTGCGTAAGCAACAAGTAAACCACGACAGAGTATCCATCCAACAAATCCACTGTCCACAAAACCCTAAAACCCTAAACAACATATCATCCGACAAGACAAATCTCCACACGTCACTCTCTCTTATTCCGTCTAATTCTCGACACACCTACCGTCCTTGTCCGGACTTGAAAGTGCTGGTGAAATCCAGAGGCCGTGAAGGTATACTCATCTCGGTATTATCCCCGAAAAACGACGAAGAAAGCGAGTTCGTGATATTGCTAGTTCCCTCGGATTCCTGCCATTTCCTCACCACTTGCGGAAGAGGTGTATCGAAATCAATACCGTAAACATCATCCGAATCATCGTTTTCGGCCGGTTTCCACTGTTCCGCGAGTGAAGAGAGCACGTTAACCACGTGGCCCATCTCGGGTCTCTGGTGAGGTTCCCTGCCTGTGCAGTGATTGGCTAGTTCAGCTACTTTGTCGATGCTGGCTAGGGTTTCCTCGTCTAGCTCGATGGTTCCATCAATGGCCTTCCGGAACAAGTTTCTGTTAATGTACATTCTCCTGAACCATCCAACAAGGTGGACGCTATCCTCGGGCTGGGTCTCGTCCAGAGCTTTCCTGCCTGTTATCAGCTCCATGAGGATGATCCCGAAGCTGAAAACGTCTACTTTGGTCGTAACTCTTCCCGTTACTGCAAAAACGAAAGTTCAGAAAACATCAGAAAAAAGAAAAGGATTGTTTTTTTTAGGGCTGATATAATCTGGTCATTGGCATAAGCAAAAAGATCTGTATACCTGCATATTCTGGCGCAAGATAACCAAAAGTTCCAGCCAGTCTTGTCTCGATCGAGTTTTTGCCTTCAGGGGCAAGCTTGACGAGACCAAAGTCCGAGACTTTAGCTCGCATATCATCTCCGAGGAGTATATTAGACGGTTTTAGATCTCTATGGATGAAACTCTGATGAGCTAAACTATGCAGATACTCGACTCCTCTAGCCACATCCAATGCGATAGCCAACCTTCTGGTCCACTCTAAAGGTTTCAACCCTTCTTCCTTCCACTGGAAAATATGCCTACTTAACGCCCCCTGTGGCATGTATTCGTAAACCAGAAGCCTCTCGTTTCCTTCCAAGCAGTACCCCAGAAGAGCCACTAGATTGCGGTGGCGAACTTTGGTAAGAACAGCAATCTCGGATTTGAATTCACCCAAACCCTTGTCACTTACGATCGAAGATTCCATTCTCTTGACTGCGATCTTTGTCCCGTCGGGTAATTCTCCCTTGTAAACAGTTCCGAACCCGCCTCTCCCCAGAATGTTCTTCTCACTGAAATTATCTGTAACCTCCTTCAAAACCTGGATCGATATCACCAGATTCCCGGCCTCCACCACATGGATGTCACTGCCATGTCCATGACTACTGCTTCCGCTTCCACTTCCACCAGCACTGTCCTTTGAACCCGAAGCCGCTACCGTGATTTTCACCGCGTCTTGTTCACCAGAACGTTGAGGATGAACCACCACAGCGTAAGGAGTTTGCTTCTTATCGGACTGTTTCCTTTTCTTGATCAAAAGGAAAACAACAAATCCGATAAGCAGCAATCCCAGCACACAACCAATCACAACACCCACGATTTTCCCGACGTTACCAGATCCGTTCTTGTCGCTATTCTCGGCAGAACTGTTGGAACCAGGGGAGCCAGGAGCAGGACTCGGAGGAGGATCCTTTCCGATGTCAGGGTTCCCCGCGATATTCACATCCACGTTCTTGAAAGCCGGTAATTTACCATACAAACGGTTGTTCGAAACATCAAGATTCTTCAGGTTACTCAACGCTGTGAGCTCTTCCGGGATAGTGCCGGTGAGATTGTTCCCAGATAGATTGATAGTGTGCAGCGATTTCAGATCTGCGAATCTCGGAGAGATAAAACCAGTAAGCCCCATGCTCTGGAAATTGATGACAGTAACGTTACCTTCTAAACAAGTTATCCGATCCCAATTCTGACAAGGATCATTCCCTTTCCATTTCTCAGCAAACCTTACAGGATAACCGAATGCTTCCACGATCGAAAGCAAGATGCTAACTTGAGGATCACAAGGAACTCCTGGATCATCTAAGCAGAAACTATTTGATCCTGGATTCATATCAAGCTGAACCTTTCTAGTGTCAAAATGAGGGGCTGGCCCTTGAAGCAGATTATTGGTTAAATTCACAATGTAAAGGGATCCCAAGTCAACCAGAGAGGGAGGGACAATACCCGTCAATTGATTATCCCTCACGCTGAAATTCATCAAGGAGACCAGACCTGAAACGTCTGGTATCGGACCAGAGAACTGGTTGCCGTGTAACCAAACCTCTTTGAGAGCTGTAATGTTCTGCAATACGGAAATCGACCCATTGAGCATTTGCCCGTTGACCCACAGAACCTCAATCGATGAGCCGGCGAGGCTCGATGGAAGTTCGCCCACGAACGAGTTATGAGACAACTGCAGGGTTTTCAGACTGGGGAATGTTTGCCCACCGAAAAAATCAGGGATTTTGCCGGAAAGATTGCAATTGACGATGGATAACTCCTGAAGAGCAACCGCGTCCTTTAAACTCACCGGGATTTCCCAGGGACCGAACGGGTTGTTATTCAGAATCGCCACATGAAGCGAGCTCATACCCGTGAAGAAATCGGCGGGAATCGAAGTGAACCCATTGTCGTGGAGGTTCAGAGTCATCAACGATTTCAACCCGGCAAGGCTCGGGATCGGACCCGTGAGCTTGTTCTGCATGAACTCGAGAATGGTCAAAGACGACAAATTCCTGAGATCAGGAGGTAAAGTCCCTGAAATCCCTCTGTTCGCGAGCTGGATCCGGGTGACCCGTTGGCTCTTATCGCATTGCAAACCCGTCCATTCACATGGATCCGGCCCGGACCAGACAAGATTCGGCGGAAGCTTCAAGCTTGCCTTCAGGGCTTGCGCCGGCGCCGCGTCTGGACTCGACTGCGCGCACACAGAGACGACAAAACACAAAAACCAGACAAAGGCATGGGAAATTCTCACGTGGGTCGTCTTCATGTTCTGAGATTTTCCCGAGAAAAAAAAAAACGGCGAAACCCAGGAACCGCAGATTTAGAGCATGACAGAGAGGGTTTAAGGGACACGAACGGATGCAAGACTGAATCTTTTCGGCGGAGGTTTTCTTGTGCTTCGACTGGGTTCTTGAGTGAGAGAGAGAGAGAATGAATCGGCGGATTTAATGGAGGATTAGCCAAGAGAATCAGAATAAATGGAAGGAGAGCGAGGGAAAAAGCTGTCCTTTTTTTATTTTTATTTGTTTTTTTTTCATTTTCCAAATCTTATTTATTTTATTTGCTTTGTAAGAACTCAATTTTTTCAGTTTTTACATTTGATGACTGAAGTAACCGGAAAATACTAATTTTACCCCAAACATAAATGTAACTTTTTGGGTACAACACGAGTAAAAAAAAATATTTCTTCAAATTTTTACTTTTTTTTCGTATATATGAATATAATGATATGAATATACGTATGTAATGTTGTTGAATGGTTTAAAGAATGCACACTAATTAATGACTTGTCATGTTGACGTCCATTGTTTTTAATTTGAAATATATTATTTTAAAATTGTACTTATCTACACGAAACCTCTGGTTGCTTCCACTTTTGCTAAATTCGTAAAATTTGTACGGATAAAATATCAAAACAAAATACAGTCAAAACCCAAAAACTGCAAATTTGGCGACAAAACGCGTCAAAAACCAAAAGCCCCTATTTTCTGCAACCTTAAATAAGTTGTCATGGTGCGATGTATTTTCGGTTTTAAGAAATAATGTTATTCCTATTTTTTATTAAAAAAAAAAATTCTGTTGCTTTGATTTTGTTCAAATTCACTTCGCACCTGATTTTAGTAAAAATAAATATTTCCTTTTTAAAATAAAAATTCATTTATACTTTTATTTGAACGATTTGATTTATATAAAAAAATGTTCTTTCGATAATATTTTTAGGTAGTTAAATTTTTTATTTGCAATAAAACGCTCTAATTATTGGCTAATTTTTGTTTCGAATTTCCATGGGTTGGCATTAACTGTTGTAACCGTTACTATTAATATTCTCTTTAATTATTCAGAGAAATGAAAAATCATATTCGGTCAATAATAAATAAACAAAAACAAAAGCCACGTTTTTTTTATAACAATTAAGCTTTTGCTGCAAAACCCTTAATTAAGAAATTTTGGAAAAATAAATACATACCAATTAAACCTAATCATATTCTATGAGATATTCTAGATTGATATATTACAGCCGGATTTTTGCCTAGAATATGGTAATACATGGCAATTACATTATATATATACTTATACATACAGATATATTTGAGATTTTTTTTATAATCTATTTCATAAGATCTTTTAATTAATTATGGATTGTTAGATTTTATTGCATGGATATGTTACCTATATATATATAATATGGTGTATATTATAGCAGCAATGTGTGTTATGTGGATCCCGATCGGTTTAAAATAATAATTTTTCAATATTTAGCTTCACAATTCCTTTTTCTAAATTTGTTTATTTCATTATAATCCTATATATAATAATCCTTTTATTTATCTATTTATTTATTTTTTGCCTATTTTAAAGTTGGCGGAACAAGTGATTTTATTACATATAAAATTAACCGACGTTATCTCGTGGTCCATGCTTAACGTGACTATTTTATTACCGCCGTTTGTCTTTGGCGGTTTCTCCCGCAAAACGTGTTCCAAACGTAGCAAAGGGGATTTAATTAATTAATATATTTTAATTTTAAATTTAATGATTAATTAAGGTTTTAATCCGTCGTGCTTTTTACGAATGTTCGACTCCGACGACATTCCCAAAGTCAGAACATTTCATCTCACCGCTGACTGCCACGTGGAATGTCCAGTAACTCCCCCACTACCCACCAAAAAAAAAACAATTTACACGTATCTTAAAAATATAAAAATAAAGATACAGCTATAAAATTCGAAAGTTTTTCAATAATTGATAGAATTATAAATTTTATTTATTTATTAAAATTTTGTGAAAGTTACTATACGTCTAAGAAAAATTTCTAAAAAAATATATTTATATAATTTATGTCATAACAAATGTGGAAACGTTTGTGATTGTAATCTCATAATATTCTCTTATTTTGGCTATGATATTCGTCCCATTCCCTATTTGTCCATAGATCTTTGATTTTGGCAAAACCATTAATACGCTTATTCAATAAGATTTTTATTACATTGGTAAAAATGTATATTAATACACAATATCCTTATTCGATTTAGATTTTTCTAAATATATCATTTCTTGTTCTTTAGATTTTCACGCGTGTATATATATATATATAGGAATGAATATTTCGGATTTATTTAGATTACCGATATTCATTAGATCTTTATACTAATTAACTTATTTCGGATTTCATTTATAAATCATATATATATATATATATATAGATTTTCTATTGGTTATAGGTTTTATTAAAAATATACTATTTATTAAAACAACTATACATAATGGATATTTAACTAAATGTGTATAATAGATATTTAAATCGGTTCATACGCTTTTTATCGAGTTCAGATCGTTAAATTTGGTTTTAAAACACATATATAATTTATATCAGAATCAGAATCGATTTTTAATATCACTGTATTATTGAATTTGATTTGTTTTGAATATCGGACCCAAAATGTGCAGCTTTTAAAAAAATTGTGCAACTTTTACACACATTTGAAATCCAAATGTTATAAGAAAAAAAGAAAAATTGGTTAGGAGACTAATCATAATTCCAAAGATGGGCCGAACAAACATAGTTGGGCTTAACTAGGCCCAAAATATTTACGACTCAGCCCACATAAAAAAGGCTCATTACTCGACATTAATTATATTGCAATGATCCGAAAAATAATAATGTATAAGCCCCATACAGACCAACCAAAAATATCGAAAAAAAAGGTTTGTAAAATGTGGAAAAACCCGATTTGAAAATTATAAATTTGGAAAAAATGTGGAAAAATTTTATTATTATAATTTAAATTTAAAAAATATGTTATTATATTTTCTAAAAAATTTTATGGATCAACGTCGTCGAGATTTATTATAATACCAATTAAAAATTTTGAAAATTATAATGATATGTTTAGTAAAATTGAGAATAAATTAATGAAACAAAAAAATTATAAATTAAATTTTCATTATTTTATAAATTTATAATTTTTAATGAGATTTACCTTTTTTATAACGGGATATTATAAACTAAAATCTAGATTAATCTCAGGATCGGACATTTTCTAAATATTTGAGGTTTGAACTAGTATTTATTTCGGTACGAAAAACTTGATTTAAAAAAACTGAGGTTAAAAAAAGAATTTTAAAATATGAATATACAATTTTTTAAAAAATGTTTGATTTTTTTTTTATGTGACTGATGAAATTGATCATGTAACATGCGAAATAAGACGTTTGTCGGAGACAAGTGCTTTTGCATAATATATGTGTATATATATATATATATATTGAAATGATTGAACAATTTAATTAATGAGGTGAGGAATGGTGGGAAGGACGTCAAGAGGCATACAACTAAATTTATGTTTTCAGGGGTCATAAAATATACAGAACAAGGAGACAGCATTATCTCCCCCAAGGATCCTAATGCCTCCTTTGCTTTTGTTCTTATTGGTTCAATTTATCAGTCATTTTCAAATCCGGTTCTGATTTTATTACAAAATATCCTAACCCACACACATATATAGGACAATTTACCAGTCATTGTCCAACTTTATTATATTTGGGTTCTTGCATTGTTTTCAATACTTATATAGTTCATTAATATATTTCATAAAATTGAGTGTGAACTATGTAGTATTTTTTTATTTTATTTATGTTAATTTAATGTTTTAATTTTTTTTTTAAATGAAGGATCTGATTTATCTCGCGACCAAATCTCATTTGTTATTTTTTTAAATAGTAAACTAATTAATGTAAATAAAAATTACTAAATCTAAACTCTATGTGTAGTGTGGTATTATTGGATGTTGCTATCAAGCAAAAAGCTCATTTGTTCTCTAGGATTACTCAAAGGGTGTTTTTATCACATTGGACTTCATTCAAATGCATGAATCACGAATGTATATAGTTTACGTTTGTAAAAAGTATATATATATATATATGTACATTTGAAAAATATTAAAACTGTTTGAATATGAAAGTTTCACATATCGACACAAAAATATGGAAAATAATCTATGGTTCTATATATGAATATTTTCTTATGATTGTGTGTGTGCGCGCAATTGGAATAAATTATTTTTAATGGAGTTTTATATGAGAAATCAAGACAGCCATAAATCCAATATTTTCTTAGATTCGATCTATTGATTGTTCGAGGTATTGTGTATTTGATGATTTATAGTCATTGCAATTATGTGCATGGACCTATTATATGTACTAAGCTTTTTCTAACAATAACCAAACATTAAAGGATAATAATGGAAAAGAAGATCCTGCATTCGGTTTGATAAATAATTATATATATATATATATATATATATGGGTGTGTGTGTGTGTGTGATTCTATTATTGAATGAAATAAATAAGTGTACAGATACATGGTCCACATGTGAGGTTTTGCATAAGAAGATAGAGAAAAAAAAACAAAGGGAAAAGGGATCTGACCACATAATCTTATCACTCATTTATTCTCAAAATTATATTTAAATAAATTTATATGAAATTGTAGACACCCTCAGATAAAATAAAGAAGAAAACATATTCCACATACTTTTTAAAAATACATCGAATTCAAAACAATAATAACATTAAAATATGTTATATTTTTGCAGAAAAAAATTTAAAATATAAATAAAATTTTAATTTTTATTAATCGTCATTATTTTTTGAAATAATAATATTTTCTTAGTCTAATATTTGTACTATTGTAAATAAAAATTTGCTAAAAAAACATATGATTATGGAGGATTCTTTGATAATTTGTTATATATTTTCGTGGATTTTCGTTTTCTAATTTCAGCTATACACGGGCCATGAGGCACCACCCATCACTCGCATTTAAACAATTGTGTCTTTGGTTTTATCTTTTGTTCCATCAAACACAGTAACACTTGAATTATTTTATTTTTCTATGCTTGAACAGTCCATCTCTCCAAATTCTTATACAGTATAATGGCAATATATATCTGGAGATATATG